TATATAATCTTCGAAACTTATCTTTTCTTTTTTAATAGCTTTATAAATTAGAATTTACTAAATTAGAATTCTTAGAAGTAGAATTACTTTTACTAGACTTCCCTGCTTTTATTTTCCTTAATTTGAAATAAGTAGTATATTCTACTTTCTGAGCTTTTTTAAGCTATTTAGAAATAGATATTACTTTATTTCCTAAAAGAATAAATATAAGTATCTAATAAGTCTTATAATTAGATAAAGTAGTATTAAGAGTCTGGATCCGGTCTCTTTTAGGATATGAGTTCTAATTAATTTCGAAACTAATTATCTAAATATATAATTCGGTAACTATTTTACTATTTTTCTAATAAAGATCTCGAAGTTCCTTAAAGGTATCTTATTAATGAATTTAAGGTACTTAAAGTATATTAGCTAAATAGGCCTTAAATCGCTTCTAATAAACCTTATATAATAATAGACTTTGCTTTATTATAGTCTTCTAAGTATTATGAGATTTGTTTCTAAAAGTACTTATAATAAAGTTAACTCTAGAAAATTATTTATTATAAGTCTAAGGTTAGATTCTAAAAACTATTTTCTAGGAAAATATAAATATTCTCTATTTCCTAAGAAACTTTTTATAATATAAATCAGATATCCGGACCTTAAAAAGCTTCTTTTAGTCTAAATATATTTTTAGGATATTATATAGTAGCTCCTAACGAATAGTATTAAGATTACTTTTAAAGCTTATTATATTAGGAAAAAGAATAAGTTCTAACCCTATTTTAGGAAGTTCTCTAATAGAAATTATTAAGGAAAATAGAATAGATTTATAAATAGAATTTCTATAAGATATAGTAAATTATAAGATATCTCTAAAAATACTCTTATATTACTCTAATTATAGGATATATTAGTTAATTATATTTACTAATTCTTGCTTTTATTAAAGTACTTTAACTTTAGTATATAAGCCTTATTTTATAGCTTGAGTAATAATAACCTGGGTATTAATCTCAATATCTTAATTATTACTGGAATTATTTCTATTATTATTACTAGCTTTTAGAGGCTTCTAAAGGGCCTTATTAAAAGTATTAGATAAGCCTTTACTATTACTTATATTAGGGTTAATCTAGTCGATTTCCTTTATAAGAATAGCTCTAATAAGAAATTATATATTTTATAAATTTCGAGATATAATTATTTATTAAACTATTTTCTTTAAAGATAGAAAGATTAGCTTATAAGGTATTTATTAATAGGTAATAAGATAATAGAATAAATTAGTAAGTTATAAAACCATAATATTAAATTTAGTATAAAACTAATCTCTGTCTTTCCTATAAGGTTTAGAGAAGCCTCCTCTAAATAGAAGGCCCTAATAATATATATATAATTAGTAATTTATAAGCCTAATACTTATAATATAAATAGTAGTTAGTTATAAAGTTAAAGAGCTACTAATCTCTCTAATTAATACCTGTAATATCCGAGGTTTATTATATGCCTTTAAGTTATATATAACTCTATATATATTATAAGAAGTTTATAAAATAATAAATAAAGTAGTTCCTAATTCTCTTATAATAGAATTTCAAGATCTTATATATTTTAGAGAAAAATAATAAATAAATAAATATATTCTTAAGATAAAAATAAAACTTATTTACTAGAAAAGAAAATAAATATTACTAGTTAAGAATATTATAATTATTAAAACCAGAAATCTTTAGTAATCTCTCTAAAAATATATTTCTTATAGTACTAGTATAAATAAAATAATAGACTAAAAAGAAGCTTATTCTAGTTCTTAAATCTAGTTTAAAAGATTAAAACTAGAAATATTAAAAGAAAAGTTAAAATAAAATATAAGTTTTTAGGAAATAAAAGAATCTTTTTAAACTAAGCTTAAAAAGCTAAAGTTTAGAAAAAGACTTTTCTAATAAAGAATATATAGGGTAATAAGTAGAAAATTATATTTAAAACGAGCTTAGGAAGCTATAATAAAATACTTAAAAAGGAAATAAGCTATATTAAGTAATAGTTAAAATAATAAATAAATAAAAACGAGTATTTCTATTTAGCTTAAAAATTAAAGTATTAATAAGAAAGTATTTATTATTCTAATTTAGATAATTACTATTCTAGAAATAATAATAGGTTCTAGACTTAAAAAAGTTCTATATAAAGCTAATCTAATAAATATATAATTTAATTTAATATAGTTATTTAGAATAAAATATTACTAATATTCTCTTTATATAATAATTCTTCTAGCTAAATATATTAAAATAAATATACTAGTTTATATAAAACTATAATATTTATAAGAGAAATAAAGTATAAAGAGATTACTATTAAAGGTTCTTAAAATTTCTTTTTATCCTAAATTAAATCTAATAAGAGATCTTAATTAATTTTATAATAGAACTCCTATTAAATAAAGAATATACTAATATAATAATTATTATAAACTATTTAGAAAAGGAAATAATACTTAAGGCTATAATAAATATTATAATAGAAATAATAATAAAGTAGTTTATAAAAACCTATTATTATTAATATAAGCTTCTAAAAGCTATAATATCTAACTAAAAGAAGTAATTTATAAGAATATTATAAATAAAAATATATAAGCTATTAGGGATTATTTAATAATTATTTATAATATATTATTCTAAGATAAATAAGTTTATAAAGAAAATAAACTAGATAATTAAGACTTTTCTTTATACTTTTATAAACTATAACTAAATAAATTAAATAGCCCTTTTACTATATATTAAACTAGTAATTAATAATTAGAATACTACTTTTATAAGAATTAGCCTCTTTTTTCTATTTTATAAATATTATATTAAGCTAGTCTAGTTCTAGAATAAAATTAGTAAAAAATATTAAAAAAAATATTACTAATCTAAATAGTAAATAATATTATATATAAGCTCTATAATATATAAGAATATATATAAGCCGTAATAGTAATAGCTTAATAGCTTTAAAAAGAAATAATAAACTAGAAAAGAGACTAGATACTAAAATTTAAGATTAGAAATAAAATATAGCTTAATTTCTAGAATATATAAATAAATAAACTAACTAAAAAGCTTAATATAAAGTATACTAAATATATAGTAGTTAAAGTAATAAGAAGTTATAGTTTTTAGCTTAATATACTTCTAGGAATCTATAATATATTTTATAATAAGCTTTTTTAGCTAGCTATAATAGATCTATTACTTTATTAATTATAAAATAACTTATAGCTATAATTATAGCTTATAGGAGATAAAGATAAATACGAAATTAAATAGATTCTTAACGAGAAGTATATAAGATATAGCTAGGGAATTTTAAGGAAGCTATTTATAAAATAGAAAAACTATATCTATTTTATATAAAAGCTATATTCTATATTAGATGAAATATTAGCTTTAGAAGCTTAGAAAGAAAGTATTAGATAGAAAGAAGTTTTGCCTATATATTTACGGGGCTAGTATTTGCGGGTAAGGAGGGGGGTAATATAACGTGTCGAGACCTGATTTATATACTTAGCTAGAAACCTCACTTAGGTCACATAATCTCGGACATGTTCGTCGTTATGTGACGCGCCTCCTTTAGTTAATAGAGTAACCACGCATTACTTAGGGAGCTCGGATGCCTTAAGGAATACGGTTCCCGTCCTCGCTTCCTTTTCTCTTCTCTTTTCCCCTTAGAGAATTCTATTTAGTTAATCGAACCACTAGTCTTCTTTGTACAAAGGCCTGGCCCGTGACAGGTGATACGATTACTACACCAATTCCTGAACATAGGTTTAATAAACGTAATTAAATAGAAATACTAATAAAGCGATTGGTGCGACTATATGTAAGTATATTCCAATAATAGAACGAACTAACTAGTGGTTGAAGCTGGAGTGGAAGGAATGGATAGCCTAAACTAGCTAATTCAACACTTTCGCCCAGGGCGAGTGGGCCCTGCACAGAAGCTAATAGACTTAAAGATAAACGAGATTATCGAATATTGCTCTGAGATTAATAGTGTGTCAAAGGATTATTCAAGTTATTCAAGTTATTCATGGATAATTCATGAATAACTTGGATAAAATAAGAGTAACGAATATCTTAAATAATTTGAGTAAAATAGAATAATTATTCATGAATAACATGAATAACCATGAATAACCACGTGGAAGTTACGTGGAAGTTAATTAATTATAGTAAATTGACATATATTTAAATTTTAAAAAAAAGAACTAAGGTATTTATTAAGCAGCCTTATATAAGCTAAGCTAATACTTATAAGGCTACTTAAATACAGATTTTCTATAATAAATAAACTGATTATTGCTAAGGTTTGATTCGCTTACCAAGTGCCACTACTACCTGATTGGGTAGAGAGTTGGCGCTAGGTGCGGGCCCCCCGAAAGCCTTACTCTATTAGGCTAGCTCAATTACGTACATAGATCACGTGCGTTATTCAAGTTATTCATAATTATTCATGAATAACTTGAATAATATATGAATAAAATAAGAGTAACGGGTTTTTAGCTTGAATAAAATAAGAGTAATGGCCGTTATTCTATTCTACTCTATTCATTTGACACACTGTCTGAGAAGTAGGAGAATCAAATCATGGACTACGACAAGCTAATTAGAGAGCTCAAGCTCTCTTGTACTGCCTCAACCTTGCGTAATAGACTCCACCAAAAGGGCTATTTTCGCTGTACCGCTTATTAGAAACCCTACCTCACTGTAACACAAGTTATTGGACGATTCCTTTGGGCGATTACACACATATTCTGGCATAAGGAGTAGCTTAAGGTCTTGTGGTCAGACGAGGTTACCTTCTTAATTAGAGAAAGGACAGCGAAGGAGAAGGTTATACGCAAGAGAGGAGAGAGAACCCACCCGACATGTATACAGTACTAACTTCACCGGGGCCATACGACGCCAGTAAACGCTTGGGGAGCAATTGGATATAGTTATAAGAGTCCCTTACTATTTATCCACGGTTCTGGTAAGAAGGGAGCCTTTTGTTAGAAGGATTACTTAGCACAAGTACTCGCACCGTATATTGAGGATATTGTGAACGCTTTTGCGGCTATCACTCACCTCCTTTGCCCTTCCGCCGAGCCTTTATTTATGGAAGACGGCAATGCTGCTCACGGTCATAAGTCTACTCGTAACTGCTGTGCTCGCTGGCGTACACAGCACGGTATTATATTAATGCCTCACCTATCTACGAGCCCTGATATGAATCCAATTGAGAAGTGCTGGAGGCATATCAAGCAAGCCTTGTACCGGCGACCCCACCAACCGACTAATAAAGGAGAAATGCAAGCTGCGGTAACAGAGGAATGGGAGGCAATACCATAAGAATGGATAAATGGGCTGATTCTTAAGCAAGAGCATTGGGTTCATATACTTATGGAGCGCCATGGCTGGTCTACTCCCAATTAAATGCTGCTAAAATACATAATTGCGATGAAAATGCCCTGAACGCACAGACCTACGGTGGTGGGCTCGTTAATGCGAGTAAGTATACTAGACAGCCTACAAGAAATATCTTATTTAATGAGAAAAACAATGAAATTAAATCTTTTAAGAAGGAGCATTAACTTTTCCCAGTCGGGATGGGGACTCCTAGATAGGGATAGTTCCTCTGCCACGTTAATGTCCCTGGGGGCTCGTCACCTCTCGTCTATCAAGGGAATACGGTCAATTACTTGACTCTGAAAAGACGCGTACCACGTATCTTCCGTATCCCCGGAATCTCCTGGTCTTCCCGCAAAGCCTCCTTCTAGACATATACGAGTCGCCTCCATGTAACGAGTTCCCATTGTGATGCGAAGCTGCGGGACCCTCGTCGCAAGAACTTGTTTTCTGAATTCTTCGTCCGATACTCCTTGGAAGTGGTCGTCCTTTGTGATAGAAGACAGAGTACTCCAGAATCCAATCTCTAGCAGGAGCATGCCGACTGAGTAGTAATCAAATTCTTCTCGGTAGCGTTCCTGGCGTTCAAGGTACTCTGGATGTTGGTAGCTCCGGAGTTGGCGGCTTTGATCTGGTCCATGGGTAAAAGAATCGAGCCGGTTTTCGCGGCTGCTTGCAAACCCTAAGATTTTCGGATTCTTAGCCCATTCGACATTCTCAGCACCCTCCGGCGGAGAAAATAGCACGTTCATCGAGTGGAGATTGCGATGTAGCCATCCGACCTTGTGAAGCGTGTAGATGCATTTGCATATTTCGAAGGCTAGTCGAAAACGGTATTCAAGCAGAGGGCGGTATAGGCCTTTGGCACTCAGGAGTCCATGCAAGGTGATTTGCTGCGTCCCCGGGGTAGGGAGACTATAGATAACGCCAAAGGCTCCGTTTGACGCGTGATGGAAGATGCCCTTGCAGCGTAAGCTACTAGATACCTGCGTAGTGCTTTCAGCGTGGAGCAGGCCAACCACAGATGTCAGTCGGCGGCGGAGCTCTATTCCGATGACCTCGTCAGCCCATGTTTCCCTATATCTGAGCCACTCTATGAGGATGAGTTCCGACGTAGGTGCTAGCAATGCTAGGCTATGGATATCAATGTCTGATTTTAACGTAATATTCTTCCGGTCAAGAAGAAGATCACTCTGCTCAATCAGACGGCCTGTTTCGGCGAGGGCTGTAAGATGCTTGACAGCAATCAAGACCCCGATGTCTTTGTCGCCCGCCTCGGTGATCGCAGTCGATAACCTGCCCAACTGCTCCACACTATCAATCTGTAAGACTTGCTTCACTAGGCGCTCCTCGGCGATGAGACGATAGGAAGACGGAAGAGCCTCGATTAGCCTAGCATGCTGATATCGGAGGAGAGACAGCTGCTGGTGATTTACAACGTTATCCCCCTCGACCCCCTCTAAGATGCGACGTGTCTCTTTCAGCGTCTGGGTTGTCTTGGGAAAGTCGAAGTCAAGACTATCTAGTTCGCTTCGCTCTGTTTCACCAAGCAATCGATCGAAAGCGAAGAGCCAGCTTTGAAACCGCATCTTATCCAGCACACGGTCGATGCTTCGGCGATTCACGGATAACAAACTTTCTAGAGCTAGATTGACGGTGCTTGCGAGCGACAATATCGATATGCCACGAAGAACTGTTAACACTCGTGCCGAGCGGGGACGTTTACTCGGGTCTATCGATAGCATCTGGCGAATCAGATCAATCATTTTCACGTAAAATGGCTCTCTGTTTACTTGCAAGTCATCTAGCCAACAAATCACCGCGTGATTCGGCGTTCCAGGACCTCGATGGAATCGAAACCATTCAATTTCCGGTGTCACCTGGACTTTCCGCTTGTCACGGAACTGTGCGACCCCATTAGAACCCAGTAACATATTCGTCAACACTTCGGAGAGAATGCAGCCGAAAGACCATATGTCACTTGCTCGGCTGATCTTCTGGGACTTGACGTGGCCGTCGTGCAACGTTTGGCACTCGGGAGCTACATATGACCCGCGAACCTCCTTGAATATGGTGAGAGAGTCTTCTTCCGCGTTCCTAAATGTAGATAGCCCAAAATCGGCTAGCAAGAAAGTCTCATTGTGGATCAAGATGTTTCGGGGTGCAAGGTCGTGGTGGCATCCAGATAAGCTAAGATCAAATACATCCGAAGTGAAGTTGTGCAAGGCATCAATTGCCGAGGCCAGATCCGCGAGCGCAAGCAGAAGTTGCGGGCCCTCAAGCTCTTTTTCACCATTCTGCCCATTGAGAAAGTCCGCTAGTGATCCACCATTGGCAACAGCAAAGATAAGATTGTATCTCTGCCGATAAATGTAGGAGCAATATAGCTGAACGATATTTGGATGCTTCAAGTGAGTAAGTAGGGATAGATTTTCCAACTCCTTTAGAAAAATAGCCATATCCTCGCTGTTGCCGCATTCAATTTGCTTCCTGATCACCTTGGGAGCGATATTGGGGTTAGAAACATTCGTGTGAAATAAGCTCATGGTCCTAGGCACTGACCTTGTGGTTTTCCAGCGGAAGTCGATGGCACTGAGGATGGAGTTCGATCTTCCAAGCAGTGCCCATTGAGCCTCGCCCGGTGGCTTCCTCGTGGAGAAAAGGCAAGATGGCCTCAGTTTCAAGCTTTCGAAAAGTCATGTGCTGGTGCATGATAGGGATAGCAACCTCCCATTGCTTCTCGAGAAAATGGCTGATCGTGGAGCTGGTGGATTCATCCTCAAAAATCTGTTGCAGTTTCCCTAAGGTGTAAGGGAGACGATCGTCGGGATAGGATCGTTGCAGCGAATCACGCCTGAAGAAGTTGGAAATGGCCTCACCTCGACCTATAAGGATCAAGATCGCAAAACATTTTCGCGCGCCTTGCAGAATGCTGATTGCCAAATCTCTAATCTCATAGACGGGGACTCCGAAGCTTCTCAAAGACATTTTGATAGCTGGCTCGGAGACCACCTCGAACAAGGCAGCCTCAGGAATAAAGTAACGGTGTTCGAAGTTGACATTCACGAAACGTATCCTTTCGATACTGTTCCGCAGTTCCGCCATCCTCCGACTTGTGCAGATCCCGCGGGACTCGAAACTTTACGTGGAATACTGCAGCCAGCCATTAGATTATACGTTTAAATAGATTAATCAGCAGATCAGACATGAGCACATAAAATTATTCACAATACCTCAAAGTATGCTTATTGACTCTGAATTGACTTGATCTCATCCTATTTTATGTGAATACGCTTCATCTCTAACATTGAAACATGGAATACTGACCTCTGTTAGTAGCTCTGGAATGCTGAGCTCATAGCTTTCGTCTCTTTCCTAGATAGAAATCAGAACTCACTCAATCGAGAAGTCTATGCTTTGTACCTACTTGTATTTTAAAATTGCCAGATCCAAATTTTGTCCTGAGCAGGCTGCGAAGATCTTCCAGCTTGAGATAGCGATTTGATATGGACTGACTCGCCATTTTGTGAGGCAACGAAGTATCTGCAAGACAATTTTTAGGGATGCAACAAAAATACTTGGGCAGGCAGACGTGGCAGCTTGAGCAAAAGGACCCCGATAAGCCGGGCTAAGCGATACTTATTATATGGCTCCACGTCACGCACTCGGGGCATCTTTATGCCGCTTTTCATGTGCGTGCGTTTCAGGTGACACAACTTCTTCCCTGGCATTGGTGCCACAATTCTTATGCTTCAATTGTCTCGTAACTATGATACCGGTTCCCTTAGGCGCCGAAAAAGGAGGCTGATTTTGGCACGTTAAGCAATAACGGAGATTCGGTATTATTTCCCAACAAGTCAGCCTACTTCTTTCCCCTGGGACTTTGTATAACTCATATTGGATCTTATAAGTCACTCGTACTATTTCTGAGCTTTCAATAACTTTTATTTCCTCAAAAGTAGACTTCGAAGGAGAGGTTTTAGTGTTCGTGCAGGGGCTAATTTCGGCGGCTTGTTTCGGCGCCTGAGAGCCCATACCCGTACCAGCAGACGCGTTCACTGCCCAACCGCCCGGTCAACCCAACCCCCCACCTTTATCCCTGTCGGAACATCAAAAAATAATTTCTCAAAGTGCTCAGATTTCTTTATTTAAAAAAAAATAGAATCACTATTTTGAGGCTGTTTGTCACGAATACCCCCTCAAAAACTTTGTTTTATGCCGTTGTTGTGGTGAAATTATAGTTTGAGAGGGTGAGTGGCGTGGGCGATTGGCTAGGATACTTCCCTCTGCACATTGTCAATTGAGGCTTTACGTTGACGTGTTTGCTCTATGCAAGCCTGACCATCTACTCCCTACCATTGAAAATCGCGCACGATCGGGCTCTTAAGAGATACTGCGATATTGTCCCCAACTCTTGCCTTCTCAAGTCATAGCTCATCGCACTCTACATATCCTACGACATCACGCCAGAGGTGAACAATTTCAGTTTAAATTGTCTCATCTGGACATTCTTCCCACAAATCGCAATGCACCCTTTAATCTATGAAGTGCTGCCTTCCCAGGAAGAAAGATACCCTGTAGATGCAGATTGTTATGCGCCAACCGGAGAGGATCGCGGTTTATGTGACCAGAGACTTAGAAACGAGTCACTGGGGCTCTTCCAAGTTGCCGGCGGCGGCGTTAATTTGATGTGGTCGATACGAGACGATGGTAAAACTCTAAACCTAAAAATCAAGCAGTCACCTAACATAGGCATGAGAATGTCAAAACTTGCTTCCCCAGCGGCAATTTATCACGAGCGAGGAAGTTGAAAGGCATGGAATCCATCAAGTAAGGCTATCTATCGATTTCGTACTTTCAGCAAGCCAGAGCGTTGACAGAGTAAAACAGTACTGGAAAAGAGATAAATGGCAGTATTTGATGTTGTAAGTTTCCTTAGAGGCCAGGACGGTTTAAATGAATATAATATGAAACGCTGGCCGCTGCTCACAGTCTACAGCGTTGTCCAACCAACCTTCTCATGGGGTCACTTATCTATCACTGAAGATGCATTCCGGAAGATATTAGCTAGCTTGCGCATATTTACCCCATTCTTGCAGGTTGTCCATACCTTTGGACAAAAAACGAATGACAAGCAGCGCGCAAGAGATTTAGTATATGACCGCCTATACCCATCTGCTACCTACGGTTTGTTTCATACTAATCATCTCTGGAAGGCTGTGAAGTTGACATAGTGGATAGAGTTCTGTTATAATATTCGCTATTTCGAATTGAATGGACGAGGGCGTGGCAATCCATGGTCACTTCGACAGACTGGAGTGTATCAAAAGTGCATGTCGAATGAGCGATCTGTCTGGCTTCTGCTGAATTATTCGAATTACCTCAGTGATCGCGTATCGGCTGCGCTTGCGGAAGAGAGCAATTTGGTCGGCGCGTGTGCAGCCTCACCACTCGTGCCCCATATCTTCATTCTGTCAACAGCAGCAAGGAACTGGGACCAATACACTGAAAATCTGGGGCAGAAAGTAATGCTATTTGTAAGGCTACGATGTTCTATGCCTGTCGGTAGATTCTCTTAGTTGACTTACAAGTAAATAGGAAGAGAAGGCATACTCGTCTCGCATCGATGAGAAGTACTTAGACGACTACGAGCTTTTATTCGCAGACGTCCAGAAGATAGCGTTGCTTGGCGATACAATTACCGTAGCAACAACCGTCATCAAAGGACAGAGAGCTACGCTTTCTAGATGTAGTAAATTACATATAAAGCTACATGGGAGAAACCTAAGAAAATGTAACTGCGATATGACAAGCACATTAAGCATGCTGAAGGTCGACCTCCAGCACTACCATGAAGTTCTGTTAGGTTTAGTGCGGACAACCTCGAAAACCACCCAATTAGTAAGATCACTACTGTCTTATATCTACTCGAGCTTTATTACTGATCTATTGGAGCTCTCCGCAATACTGGCGACTCGAGCGAACGACAGCTTACGGGCCATTATGGCTACAATTCAGACGGGTATCGCTGAGCTCCAATTGCAATCTAGGAAGACTGGCTTAGACACGGCCAGCTTACTGAAAATTACCACCCAAGGGCATAAAGATGGTTTCATAATCAAAGTCCTCACTCAGATCGCAACTGTGTTTCTTCCGGCATCTCTTGTAGCTGTTAGTGTATTCCTGAGGATTAGCAGATATTAGCAGCTAACTTGTATAGACTCTTTTCAGTTCGACAATATTCAGCAATTCCAGCAATAACATTTCATATGTTTCTCTCTACTTCACAATCACTGTCCCGCTCTTGCTAGTCACAATATTGCTTCTATTTTTTCTCGAGAAAGGCCTGTGGCTTCAACGCTTGTTTCGGAACTCTTAGTTGGCATAAGATAGTGACCACCAATTTTTTTTTTTTTTTTTTTCTTTTCATTTTTACCGGAATTAGGAAAATTTCGAGTCCATAAGTTTACTCAATTGGTTTGTGCACAGATAAAGGAATGGTCAGAGAGTACACGAATCTTAAGATATCTTTTACTACCTGTGCTGCAAGCTCTCTTCTTCCCGATTCAGCAGCATAGACTACGTGAATGCCGCCTTTTTTCTTAAATCTAAGCAAGTATCGGACCAAGAAGAAATCTAAGAAAATTTGGTGATTCATACTTTCGATTACACGAAGTATACATCTCGGCTAATTGTGGTGGAAGATTTGGAGGACGAAGAAGAAGCAAAATCAAATTCGGAAGTGGTACAGCTTAACTCGAAGGCCCAGAAGCGAAAGTCAAATCGAGTGAAAGGAGTCCTATGTGAGTCTCTCTAGGAGTCGACTTTGTCCCCTTAATACAGCAGTATAGGGAGAGCAGGAACGTGACTGAGCAACCTGGGTAGAAGGTGAGGCGAGGCTGATTAGCGCCTGAGCAGAGCGGCGATGGTGATTAACTGCGTTGGAAGGAATTGAGGTTTAGATTCGATGAGATTACTTAAATAAAAGCTCTTAAAAAAACCAATTTCCTATATGCTTATATATTATATTAGTATAAGCTTGCGAGCGTAATATGGCATACTTAATAAAAGAAGGGTTTTATAAATAAGAGAAGGGTTTTATAAATAAGAGAAGGGTTTTATAAATAAGAGAAGGGTTTTATAAATAAGAGAAGGGTTTTATAAATAACAGGGAAAGCTTATAAATAAAAGTAAGGCTTAAAAGAGCTTATAAAATGGAGGTAAGATCTTTGCGGGTATAATTAGGGAATGTGGTAGTTTATAAAGATAAAGAGAGAGCTTTATCTAATTAATCTCGTATGCAGATGGTCTCAACGGTGTGATTGAGGCGACTGGCGTACTTCACGATGAGGCCCAAGCCAATGCTTGAGGTGAACTGGATTAGTATGTTGTTCCAGAAGAGAAAAGATATGTGATATGAAGGGCGAGAGTATACATCCGTTAGCACCAGTGATGAGAACAATGGTTGACGACAAGTTCCTACAGATGAAACTATTCTGATTCGGTATTATTATTGCCATTAAGCGGCTTGCATTATTCCCTTCTTCAATCTTCCGTCAATACCCTTCCCTCAAACTATCAAGGTAGCTTTTCAAACCACCTGTGGAAGCAGATAAATTCCTACCATAATGAAAAGTCTACTTTATCCACCTTTGCCCCTTGCAATACTTTACCAAACAGTTGGATTTTTACCCGGACCTACTTTCCGGGTTAGGACAGCTGAGTTAGAATTTCAATCAGGGAGCAAGCTCAGTTCTATACGTACCACAACAATTCTTGCACTTTGGCATGATACATGCAGATGGTTCTGACCAACGCGTTGTTGATGTTTTAGCGAGTAGATAACATATGTTGGAATAACTGAACGAGACGCTCTACTTGTCCCATCCTACCCGCCATATCTAAATTGCTGCGTCTGGTGCAAGCATCCTCACACGAGATGAGAACCATGGGATCATTTCCACCACTGGTTCCCGAAAGTGATCATTCGCATCTCTCAATTTCTTTCCAATATTCTGGAAAACGACACCCATGGACTTCTGAGAGAACACCATTGTATCTGTAATGTGCTTGGAAACGGATCTGCCCAACTATCGAAGTTATATACTGATTCTGCTTTGACCCGATCGTTGAGCATCCTCTCTGGAAGGGGGTCCGCGAACTTCAACTCTTGTTCATCGTCGGCTGTACTTCCCGCTGTTTGGTTTTTAAAAGGAGAAGTGAGCATGAGCGAAGCTTAAAGTGTATCCACTCCGAACTGGACATTTTTGGCAGCGGAGGCAGGGCGTGCTTCCAAGGTCTTTGATGGTGGTAGCATTTGAGGGCTTTGGTTGAGCCATTTTCAAAGCCCCAGATATTGTTGTACAAAAAACGTGATTGATATCCAAATTGTGATTGATCCCAGTCGTGGTTGATGTGTGAGGTGTTGTGGTCGTGGCTCGCGGTTCCGTTCAGGAATCATAAGATCGGAGTCAAGGAAGGCGAAGCCAAAACAACGAGATCGGGCAATTCAATGAGGTGGAGAAATTTAAGACGGCAAATAATTGATTAAATCGCCCTCGAAAGCATCATAGCATGGTCTCCTAAGTAGAATTCTTTCGCTTGTATTCGTGAGATAGAATGCCATTATTTTAGTCAACCCTGTAACACCAACTGTGAAAGTTACTAATTCTGCGGTGACTAGGGATTGAAGCATGTGTTGATGTGCAAGGCCATGGCTTCGTGGAGTGTCTTGGTTCCGACTGGGCGCCCATTACAGGTCATATGGGACTCATCAAACACGGCCTAGAGATTTTAGAAATCTGATCTCAACCCTTCCTCTCCCATAGAAAGACGGTCTAGCTCACATGACTGTTAATATCCTATCGACAGGGCGAAATAAATGTTAAATGTAAGGTAACTTGGCCGTGTCTCTAAGGGTAGCTAGACTAATCCCCTGACTAGGCTTTGCGTATGGCCTGTGCTCATTAACTTTTTTTCCACCACGTACGTAGTATTTCAGAAGCCCTTCCTTCGTCAAAAACTGTGACACTGGTTAGTCATGCGAGATAGAAATATAGAAATGGAGCAGAAGTGCGTTTTCTAACATGGAGAGATTAATCTCGCCATCTGGAGAGGTTGTTTTGTTGTGTTTCTCTTTCCATTCTCGATCATGATCACTTGTGAGGCTGGACTTGGCGTATGCTTGACCCCCTGGTCAAAAGCATAGCATAATAGCGACGGTGTAGTGATGTAACAATTTCCGTTCCTAGGTTTCGAAAACCCGTATCTCGATAACAGAATGGAATACCGATCGCGGGCTCGGCGAGCTGAAAAGAGGTTTGGTCGGCAGAGTAACGCAACGCCATTGGTTCCTTGCTACTTGTGCACCTTGCTTCTTTTACGCCCTGCTTCTTGTACGCCCTGCTTCAATAGGAGGTTGATAGGATTGCTCTGGCGGGCGGAATCCGGTCTCAGAACGGGCGCACATCCCGATCAACTTCACCAAAGGAATCAGACGATCTTGCCAATGGCATGTGGGGCACGATCCGCGATGTGGCGTTTCTCGTCCATTTTGGGCACACCGAGATGCAGATAACGGCCCCGCGGTCCAATCAACGGTGAGAGGATTGCTCATCGTGAGTGACCATTCGCAACTTTGGATTTGGAAGGTTGGGTATATATCTATTCTGCTGTGGTCGCCACCTGCCTCCCCCCTCTTCAAGCTTTTCACTCTGCCTTCAAAAAGCACATTCTATTCGAAGCGCCGCAAAGACAGGCATATTTCGTTCGGTCATCGCCTCGTGCACCTTCACCCGCAGGGTTGAGGTATGGTTCTCCAAACCTCTATGGCCTTTTCTTTCTAGCTCTGAATTTCTTAGTTCTATTGTCGGTATCTAGAGACTGATTGCTCATAACTTGTGCGCATAGGTTCCATCATCAGGTCTCTCTTCCGTCGTTCTCGATTGCAACAGAAGGTCCACCCCACCACAACCCAACTTCGCCATCCGTACGTGGATCTGCAAGAGCAGAAGTGCAGGCACATCTCCCACGTCATGGATAGCCAGTTCTCCGATGGCTCACTCCTTTTGGAGTTTGAATATGACGATCTTGATAGCCTCTTCTGTCAAGTACCGGCCCCCCACATGAACAACAGACCTGACGGCGGCCCATACTGCTTTGACAGTCTTGCGTCGACCCAAGAGGTTGTTGAGAGAAACCCCACCTGTGCGATGAGGGCTGGAGATTCCGCGATTGGTGCTTGTATAAGACCCGGCAATGCTAGAGATGATGGACCTGGATATGGCATCTCCTCCTTGGGAGTTGACACGAGCTACCTAACACCACCCTTATTACAGTCGTCACTGTATCCGGCTAATACCACTGGAATCTCCTTCGCTATGGATGAGTGGAGTCCCAATTACCCTGATCTTGATACCATGGAACCTATTACAGTCTCCCACTCACAGCACAGCCTTGAGCCTCTATCCACCGAATATATCCATTCCACTATAAGGCCTGCTAATTTTAGTAGCCTAAGCGACCCTTTTTTCTGGAACCGTGAAGAACCATCCATCCAACGAGATTTAAATGACTCCGTCGGGATTGGAAATTCGTCTCTCGATGCCGAAGACAATTCGTCACCTGCCAACAATTTCAACATAGTCTTCGGTTATGAAACGTCTGAAACGCATGGTATGCCCTCGAACGGATACTTCATAGCGCAATCAGAACAATTCTCACTACAGTCAGAATTCAACAGCATCAGTAACGCCAACCATCATCAATCGTTGGACCTGGTATTTGGATCAGGTGGAACATGGCAATCAATGCTACCACCGCGTATCCCAGCTAACAACCAATTTGAGCACGACACAACAGATCGATGCCCTCAGATTCACACGACAACAGAGTCACACCCAACGGTTCCTTTCCCCGTCTCAATTGCGACTCCCACAGTCTCTGAGTCAAGTTCTTCAACTGCAAAGCACGATGTCCTTCTGAAGAACAGCTTAACGGTATTACCGACGTTACTGAGACCCCAACCTCTCTCACATCCTCCCGAGGCGTTGATGACTAGCTTCGAAAGTTCCCAAGTGGAACTATCAAGCTCGAGAGGTAAAAGGGCTTATACAACTGAGGCGAGAAAGAAAGTCAGCCAAGTAAGAAAGAAAGGAGCATGCTTGAGGTGTCGGATACGTAAGATTGCAGTAAGTTCAAGATTTTTATTAATTCTCACAGTATCCATTTGCTGAGAACTAAACCAAAGTGTTCCGCGGACGACGAAATATGTAGCCGTTGTCAGAATGTGACCAACACTCCTGGAATTGCACAGCGAATCTGTGTTCGACAGAAATTGATAGACGTCTTTATCAGTCATTCTAGTAAACTAGCCTGAACCACACATTGTGATTATGAATCACTGATCAAGACAGGTATTTATGAAATGATTCTGGAGTCGCAGGACCGTAACTCCAGAGCGATAAATCTTCTTCCTGGCCAGACTGAACAAAGGTTCTTCAGAATGGAGACGATGGGTTTGGACTCTTCTACACTAGCCATCACCGCCACACGATACGAGCGCGTTTGCCCCTCTTTAGGTCTCTCGGGCTCGTACACGATCCTAGTACCTTCTTGGCACGGGGCATCGAATGATCAACGGGCAATTTCTCCTATCTCCCTTCCCACGATCGAGGAGCTAGATGATTTTGCTAGATCAGGCACCTGCAAAGTACATGATCCATTCCTCAGCTACGACTTACATCACAAAATCGATCGCTTACTACTTCTGTGCTGCGAGCGTGAACGCCAATCCCCAGTCGTAAGACTTCCTTCCACCAAAGTTTACCTCAACTCAAAATAGCGCAGGGCAGACTTGTTAACGCAACCCTGAGGGTTGTGAATCTGCGGAGCTTTTTGATGCACAGCCTAGTGCATGCCCTCAATACCAAACAGGATGACTCGGACGGCTCCGCTTCCCGGTTCCAGTCTACCTACGTCGACCCTGTGCTCAACATGCAAATTCGAACCATTGCCCTCGCCGGCATAGCCAAGTCCGAAAGATTCCTGTTCTCCCAATTCAACGATCTCTCTCGTATCCTTGCCCTCGACGAATCTAGCCTGATGTTAGCCAAAACCTGCTTGCTGAGATTGATGTTGATATACCGCAACGATGTCTTGCTATGCCAGAGAAGCGTAATGATTCCAACCAAATCCCGAGGTAAGAAATTGTAGTGCTTAGATTGTTGGTGATTGAGTTTACAGACAGGTTGACAGTGATATTTGCAAACCGGCTCAAGAAAGTCAAGTTCATGTACCATCTTGCAGCAGCCACTTATGGCACACTCTCTGAGAGGGTTTCGTCGTGTGTACCCTTCGAATGGAAACTCGATGCCTACGAGAAATATTCGGGACATGATGGCTCTGCTGAAGGTTTTGAGAAGGCGGTCAAGGAGCTTAGTGTTGCTTACACGACTTTCTGTGAGCTTTGTACTCTCTTCTGCGGAAAACCACTGATAGCTATACAGGTGAACATGAATTGCTGCCAGAAGATGGAATTTTCAATTTTTTTGTCATGGAGTCTGGTAGGAAGGTCGGAAGAACTTGAATCAGGATAATAGTCCTTGATTCGATCTTGGTATCTCGATATGAACACTTTTAATTCTCATCTTCTGACTTGAGCTATGAGCTATAATTGAGCAAATTTAGGATATATATTGATTTATGTTACACAGAAATCACGTGTTATTGTGGTGGCCTCAGGCTTCCGGTTCTGGACCATGAAAAGGGGCTTTCAACCCATTTAATTTCTGCCCTTTAGAATAATTTTCCAATGTCATAATCATAAGCCCTCGGTTCGCGGCGTTCTTTTAAGACAACTTTACGCGGCGTATATGCTCACTAGATGCTCTCTACTTCATTTGTATTTACAGAGAAGCGTACTCGACCTCCCGCTTAAATGCACGCGCACTACACCAAATTTTTTCCTCACTCTCTCCTACTTCTAAATTAAATTATTAATTAACTAAGATCAATTAGCTTGAAATCAAAAATAGAGATAAATTAATAGTTAATAAATAATGTCTCAAAGATTACTCGTGGTTTTATTACATGCCTCTAAAAGCTTTATTTTACTAGTATTTTTAGGCCTCTCTATTAATATTAATATTAAAAAAGAAAACGACTTTCTTTTTAATAACTAGTACTTTTTTAGGTTTTGTAAGAGTTTTAATTCTTGTTAAAAGAGCCTTTAAAACCTTCTTTTTTAAGCTTATAATTAAGCCTTTTTCTTAATTCTTATTTTATTAATATTTCTTGCCCTTATTACTATTTATAAAGTATTTACTACTTTTTTAGTATTCTTCTTTTATTTTTCAAAAACCTGAATAACTTTTTTAATATTAATTTATTCTTATTCTAATTTTATAAAGGCCTTTTTTTAATAAAAAGCTTTTATATTTATTAAATATTATTTATTAAGAAATATATTAATTTTATATATTTATTTCTCGAAATATTTAGTTATTTTTATAATATTTATGCTTTTTTAATTTTTTAATACTTTAATTAGCTCTTTTTTATATATTTATTAAATATAACTTATATAATAAGGTTTTTATTAGTTTTAAAAAGCTTTTTAAATTTTGCTTAAAATAGATTTTTATAAAAGTTAGCTTAAAAGTATTAAATTAATTTTATAAATTATAAAGTTTTTAATTATTAAATTAATAAAAAAGCAAATTAAATAATTATTAAAAAGTAATTAAATAAATAATAACTTTAAAAATAAAAGTAAGATTATATAGCTAAATACTATATTTTATAAACATTTTAAGCTAAATAAAATAGCTTTAGAAATTATTTCTTTTTTATTAAAATATAAATGAGACTTTAAGCTTATTATTTAAATATATAAGTAATAAAAAGCTAAAAAAAATTATTATATTAAATAATTAAAAGTAAAATAAGAAATATAATATAAAGGTTTTAATATTTATTATTAAATATTATATTTATATAATTTAAATAACTATTAATAATTAAATATATTTTATATAAAAAAATTATTTAATTAATTTAAAGATTTCTATAAATTATTAAAATTTATATATATTATTATTTTATTTATTATTTAATATATTAAAAAAGAAATTATTTTATTTTTATAAATTAAATAATTTATTAATATATAAAAAAGTTATAAGAATTCTTTTTTTAATTATAGAAAAATAAAATATATATTTATTATTTATTATAAATAATTTATATAATTCTTTTTAATTTATATATTTTCTTAAATATAACTTTTTTATTATTTATATTATTAGTAATTATTAATTTATATTTAGAAATAAGAATTATAATATTATAATATTAATATATAATTCTTGAATTTATTAAGTCTAATAAAAACTAATTACTAATTAAATTATCTATATTTTATTATCTATATTTTATTATTTATATTTTATTATTTATATTTTATTATTTATATTTTATTATTTATATTTTATTATTTATATTTTATTATTTATATTTTATTATTTATATTTTATTTATTTATATTTTATTATTTATATTTTATTATTTATATTTTATTATTTATATTTTATTATTTATATTTTATTATTTATATTTTATTATTTATATTTCATATTTCGAGTCTTATAATTATATATATAATTTTTAAAAGAATAGCTATATTAATATTAGAATTTTTTTAAAAATATAAAAAATAATATTTTTTTCTATTTATATACTAATTTTCTAATTTAGCTTTTCTATTATTACTTTTTTAAATACTACTAATTATTATAATATAATTAATAATAAAGTATTATATTTAGTTATTTAAAATAAAGTATTATAAATTTTAAAAAAAATTAATAGTTTTAAAAGCTATTTAAAATATAATATTTTTATTAATTCTGTTAATTTTAATTATAATAATAAAATTATAAGCTTTTATAAAAATAATTTTAATTTTAGTTTATATAATATTTATAAATTAAATAAATTTCTTATTAATAAACTATTTTCTAATATTTATTATAATTTAATTAAAAGAATCTAAATAAATATTAATCTAATATTATTTAAGAATATTTTAAAGCTATTAATTAGTTTAATATAAAATACTTTTATTAATAATATAAAATATAAATTTATTAAAAATATAGAAAATATTAATAATAATAAAATAATTAAATTTAAATTATTTTTTAAATTATTCGAATTTCTAATATTATTTATAATATTTTATAAAATATTTAAAAGCTTTTATATTAATATTATAGTTTATTTATTCTAGTATATTTTGAAGTTTATTAATAAATAAATAATTAAAATAATAAAATAAAAATAATAAAAATAGCTAAAAAGCTTTTAATTATAATAAAATAAAAATTTAAAAATTTATTTTTATTTTTATTAATAAAGCTTTAAAGATATTATTTACTAATTTATTTTTATTCTTTTTATTATTCTTTTTTTAATATTAATAATATATTATATATAAATATTAGTATAGCTATAATTATTAATAATTATATAATATAGTTATATAATATAGTTATATAATATAGTTATATAATATAGAAATAACTAGAAATAATAAGATATAAATAACGAGTAATAATTAAATAATTTCGTATTATATAAATAATTTAACTAGTAGCTAGTTCTTATTAGGCTTAATAAATTTAGGAATTATATATTAATATTATAATATTATAATTCTTATTTTTAAAAAACAAATATTTTATAATTATATAATAGTATTATATATTTCTAATAAACTAATAATAAATATTATTATTATTTAGGGTTTAATATTCTAGTTATTTAATATAATTATCTAATAGTTAATATAAAAATATATATAAAAATATTTAAAATATTAAATTCTTTATAAGCTTAATATATTATAAATATATTTTATTTTTATAGTTTTTTATATTCTAGTTTTTTATATTTTAGTTTTTTATATTTTAGTTTTTTATATTCTAGTTTTTTCTTTTTTAGTTTTAAATTATTTTTATAAAAGATTTTCTATTTTATTTTTTAAGTTCTAAATATTATATCTATAATAATAATTAAAATTATTATTAAAATTATTATTAAAATTATTATTAAAATTATTATTAAAATTACTATTAAAATTATTATTAAAATTATTATTAAAATTATAAGTATTTTAAAATTTAAATTAATAAATATTTCGATTTTAAATTAAATCTTTTTAGTTTTTTATTTTTTAATATATATTTCTAGAAATAATATTCGAATTTCTTATATATAAAATATAATTTTAAAATATAATTATTATAACTATAAGATTTAAAATAATTATTATAGATTCCGAAATTATAACTAGATTTATATTAATAATTTTTAAATAAATAATAATTTAAAGAATTTTAAAAATAATATTATTAATTAATAAAAAAAATATTTAAATAATTTATTATTTATTTTTATATATAATAATAATTAGCTAGAGCTTATTAATAAACTAGCTAAAATTTATAAGAAAATCTAAAATTATATATTTATATATTTAAAACTCTTAATAAATAATAATAATTTTATTATAAAAAAATTAAATATAAAATTAAATTATAATTATTAGTTTACTAGTAATATATAGTACTATTATATAGGTATAGAAATACTAGTTATATTAATTAGTAAAGTTATTATTCTTTAGAAATAAGAATTATAGTATTATAATATTAATATGCGATTCCTAAATCTATTAAGCCTAAAGGAGTCTAATTTACTAGTTAAGTTACTAATAAGATACGAGGTTATATAACTATATCTTATATCTTATATCTTATTACCTATATTTTATTACTTATATCCCGTATTTCGTATTCCGTAACTATATATATAACTTCTAAAGAAATAGCTATACTAATACTAGAAACTCTCTAAAAACGCGAAAAATAGTATTTCTCTCTAATTATATACAAATTCCCTAATTCGGCCTAGTACCAGATTTCCCAAATACTCTATATATCTATATTACTTCTAAGGTTTTAGTTATATATTAAAGGCTGCGGCCTTTTATATATAACTTCTTTTCCTATAATATTCTCCTATCCTATATATTTATTTCTTGCTCTATTTATACTCGACTTATTTCTCTATATCTAATTATATAGTATTTGTATTAATTAGGTACTTGAGGGCATTCATTAGCTTTAATTTTATTATAAAATTAGTAGAATTCAATTCTTCCTTAATCTATTTGACTTCTATAATCTCTCGTTATTTATATGCCTAGTAAAGGCATATTATATTAATTATTAGATGCTTTTCTCGAGTAGTTCCTAATTTAATAAGGTATTTATATAACGACTTTAAATTCGTATAAATTACTAGTAATAGTTCTATTTCTAGTATTTTATTAATTATAGATTTAACTAAAGCACCTATATTAAAGCCGTAAGCCATACTATAGAGTTCCGAAGCTAGAATACTTCTAGTAATTCTCTTATATTTAGTAAAGAACTAATAAATAATATTAGTATATCTACTTCTATTTACTAGAACTAGAATATATCCGATTTGAGAAAAGAGATCTCTATTATTTATAAATAAAGTATTCATAAAAATAATTAAATATAAGAACTTCTTTACTAGCTTTACGAATCTTAGTTCTCTAGTAATATTCTTAATTTGCTATTAAATGCACTTATTAAGTGCTTTTATATTAGTTT